TTATATATATATATATATATTAGTATTATATATATATATATATATATATATATATATATATATATCTGTGTGTGTGTGTGTGTATAATCTTATTTTTTGAAAAGACATCTTTAAATCTGGCAGTTTATACACGCATATATAAATCTTTATCATTGAAAGTAAAGACGTTTTAGATATTTTTGCAAAAATACTTAAACAAGTGCAGTGCAGCTTATGTTTTGATACCCGAAGAGATAGTCATGGGTAAATAAACACATAAACATGTAATGTTTCTTTTTATTATTTTATAATCCAGTTTTTGGCCTTCCCCACAGATTGTTTCCATGCATATCTGGAAGTAGTTGTAAGCTTGATTTCCTCCAGATTTCAGATTTTCTTCAGCCCTTTTTTACGTGAGCTGGAAGGAGGGAGATTTATAGAGGGTGAATGCATTTACAGAGTTGTGCAATTTCATTGAAAATACCTGAGTGGAGTGTCACGGCTGCACAATCACAGACATACTGGACTCAGTCATATATGTGCTTGGCTTCGTTTATCACCTCGCAGTCTTCTGCTGTACTTAACTCCCAATGTACTGAACTGTCCATGCGGTTTTGTTCTTGTTTAATGTCAAACGTGGCAAAGGTGTTATGACTAAGCGAGTCGTGAATGAATCACTGTTCTGCTATTTCATATTATGGAATGAGAAAGAGTAAATCTACCTCTCTAGTTCTGAGAGCATGTTTTCGCCGCCCTTACATTCTCCAGAATGCTTTTTCTCTTTAAGCTGGAGGCAACAAATGCCAAAATCTGTGTTCTGTGTCAAACTATGTGATGTAAATAGTAGTTATTTATATTTTTACATTTATATTCATATTAAAAATACTTTTGAAAAGTTGTATTAAAGAACTGTTATGTGAAATAGTTTATTACGGTGTTATTTTACTTTGTGGTAACCTGTGTTGTGAAGTAAGTAACTAGCTTTTACTAGGAAAAGTACACTCTAAAAAATGCTGGGTTAAATACAATCCAGTGCTGGGTAAAATAGGGACAAACCCAGTAATTGGGCAGTTTTGACCCAGCAAAAAACTGCCCAATTGCTGGGTTTGTCCCTATTTTACCCAGCACTGGATTGTATTTAACCCAGCATTTTTTAGAGTGTAAGTAGCAGATGCTACTAACTTATTGTAACTAAATTTCTGAGTAATGTGAAAGTTTAGCTGTTTTCAAACTGGCAAGATTGTAATGTCTCACTTGTATGTAGCATTAGGAAGTCCGACTCTTTAGTGAATACGTTTGTTTGAATGCTTTAAACGATTCATTGGTTTACTGATCTCAGTTATGCAATATTAGTTTTGTTTAGTGTACACTCTAAAAATGCTGGGTTAAATACAACCCAGTGCTGGGTAAAATAGGGACAAACCCAGCGGTAGGGTTACTACCCAGAAGGTTGGGTTAAACATTTAACCCAACCACTGGGTCAAAACAGCCCAATTGCTGGGTTTGTCCCTATTTTACCCAGCACTGGGTTGTATTTAACCCAGCATTTTTTAGAGTGTACATTTATCAGTTTAGGGTAATCATATTACACAAATTGAGTTTTACACTAATGTATCCATTGTTTCAGGTTATCAGGTGTAAATATATTCAATTCAATTTTATTTGTATAGTGCTTTTCACGATACAAATCCTTGCAAAGCAGCTTTACAGAAAATATTACGTTTTTACATTATATTTAGGAGTAGGTTATTAGTGGTGACTATGGCAGAAATGTACAGTAAGAATCATGCAGTTAGTTACAAATTACACGTAATCAAACAGACGGTGAGCACTATTTTTCTGTTTCAGAACATTCACAGAACATTCAAAAGTAACATTCCCATTATGTTAGGAACAAAATTCTAAAATGGAACGTTCCCTTAA